TCTGTACAGTTTTAAGGGTTTTAAACACTCCTCAGTTATTAAAATAACTACTTTTCAGTTGAATAACAGATCTGTGATATTAATTTACATCAGTGACTAAAGTAGTTATTAACAAAAATGAAAAAAAGAAACAGTAGAATACAAAGGGGGAAAGGATGGTGTCAAAGAAAAGAACCAGAGAACATTAATTTTATTCATGCTTTTGTAATAGAATAACACCCTAAATCTGAATATCAGAATGTTTCTGTAGGTTAATTTTCCCTTAGATGTTTATAGGGAAGAATAGACAAGTTACAGGTGGGAGATGATTTATTGTTTGGGTCGTTTTGCAATCAGGGAAAGTCTAGGTCAGTTAGCTGAAGAGGAAACATTTATCTCTGTGTCTAGCAAGTTTCAGAGGGACAAACAGTTTTAATCTCAGCTAATCATTCATAAGATAGAGAATGGGAAGTTGAAGCATCTGTGTCTGGTCTTATCAGCACATCCAGGCAAAATGGGGAAAGTCTGTGTTTTGGCCTGTCTTAGGTAAACAAGAGAGTCATCTCTGAATCTTACGAGGGTCGTGAGAAAGAACGAGCTGAGAGTTTTATTTAGGTCTCATGGGCAAGGGTGGCTCTTTGGGGTGAGCCATTTCCTGGAACACAAAAAGGCTGAGGGATTTCTCAATCATCACTGTTTTCTGGAAGTACCAGGATCAGGTAGATTTTACCACAGTCACCAGAAACCTGATTCAGACTGGAGGCAACAGTGGACAGATAGGGAGATGTGATGTGACCCAAGAGGAATCATTCAAATACACCTGAAAACTACAAGCCACCTTGGGAGGGCAAAGGCTTTCCAGGAAAAATACCCAGGAAAAAGCGACCTGTTGAAGACAATGTGAGTAGAATCCCTGAGAAAAGCAACCAGTCCACTGGAGCTCAGGTAGCTGTAGAAATACCACTTTTAAATAAAAATTGAAGGTTTACAGATGACGCTGAGTGAGGACAGGCAAAGAGTCTCTAAGGGCCCAGGTGAAGAGTGAGCCCAAGTCAGCCTCAGTGCTAACCTGCCATATTTCAGAAATTAAAACTGCTGTAAAATTCATACTTCTCTTCAGCATCCATTTTTATACTTAAGCTCTCTGGCTTTTATGTAAAATACCCAGGAAATTTTCTCATGTATTATAATATCTACAGTGAAGTGTAATATGTTCATACTTCCTTGTATTATTATTTACCAAATATGCTAATTATTACCAAATATTCTAGGATTATTCTAATATTGCAAGAATTGCACTTCTTTGTCCTCTTGTGATTTGGTGGACTCACACAATTAGTTCTGGCTGATGAGTTGTGAGCATAAGTGATTTGTGTAACTTTGGAGCCAAAGCATTTGATTCCTAGCAAAAATACTTTAGAGATGTATTTTCCTAACTAGAATTGCCAGCAATATTGTTGTTAGTGGCTCCCCCATTGGGCTGCAATTTTTTTCTTGGGGCAGTGGGTGAGTGGATGAGGTCTCACCCTGTCTCATAAGCTGGAGTACAGTAGTGCAATCATAGTTCACTGTAACCCCAAACTCCTGGCCTCAAAGTATCCTCCTGCCTTGGTCTCCTAAAGTGTTAAGACTGCAGGCCACTATACCTGGCTTGGGCTGGAGTCTTAAAGTGAAAAAGACATGAAGCAAAGATGCAGCCTATGTGCAACTGTCATACAGTGAGAGCAACGAATACATTTTTATTTATCTATGGATATTTGGGGTTGTTGTTGTGGGGTTGTTTGTTACTGCAGCGCAACCTAACCTATCCTGACTAATAACATCAAATTTGCATAAATACTTATTCTGACTCTTGATATAAATAACTTATAGTGAGAGCCAAGCAAATAAAACAAACTCAGCTCCAGAATAAAAGGGCAGCCTGACTTGACCAATTATAGTTCCCAGCTAGAATCTGAATGACCCAGACTCATCAATGAGAATTTAAAAATCTGAGCTTTTACCACAGATTTGGATAGTCAAGTCAAATCTAAACTAAAAATAGGAAAAATAAGGAACTTTTTTCCTATTTGATCTCAATAGCGTTATGGTAGTTTTATCCAATTTTTGTAGCACAATAAAGATATATTTATAGAAATTGGGTAAAAGGACAGGGGAGGCAGATGTTTAATTGTAACAATTAAATGAACAAATTACTGGCAGCTCTTTGGCAGATGATATACAGTGAAATGCATTTTTGTACTAATTATTTTCAGTAGCTAACTCTTGAATATAAAAATGTGTTCAGTGTTAAGGATCCAAATATGAATAATATGTACTCCCTGTCATCATGATGGGAACTGACAATTGAATAGAAGGGGATAAGAAACAGACAAAGAATAAGAGGTATGCTAAGTGCTTTAAGAAAAGTATACCCTACGCTGTTGCAGGCGTGGGTGGGGTCTCCTAAAAATGGGTAAATGGCCCAGTGGTTGTGCTGCTAAGCCACGTCTTGGGAATCACTAGCCCATAGAGGCAGCTGCTTGATTAGAAAACTGAATGCAGGAACTGGTTGTCAGTAAGAAGCAACAAGAGGACCCCTTCCACACTTTGGTATATTGATTTGTACTTTGGATTTGGCAAGGGTATGCACAGGAGAAGCAAACCAATAAACAGTCCAAAGGAAAGCAAACACACAGCCTATGCAGGAAAATGTATATAAGCAAGATTTAAATCACACAGTAAAAACAATCACATGGAAACAACGCTAAATATGTAATCAAAAACATGTTAGAAACAGAAGAACCATAACAAAAGAACTATAAAAAATAGAGGAAAATATCCGAAACAACAACTCAAAAGATTGCTCTTTTACACTGTGGCATGCTATTCCCTTGGCAATGCAAAAATAGGAAACTTTATTTCCCAGGACAACCCACTTTCTGTACCTACAGCATGATCAGGCCCCTTCTAGTCAAATTATTTATACGAATTAACACCTGGCTTGTTGTCAGAGCTAATGAATATTTAGGACAGTTGGAAGGAGATGGCTATTTACAATTCTTCAATAAATAATTAAAATCTGATTTTCAAAAAACAGGGTGTCAAAATATTTAAGAGAATGGAAATGAAGTATGTTCTCTGTAGATCATGTCAAGGGTGACACCAATCCCATCTATATCTACTGGATGAAAGCAAGATGTGCTTTTCTCAAAGTTTACACTAGGAAAAAAACAGGCAGTTTTATTTTAACCAGATGTGAACAAATTAAACCCAATATTTTCAAGTATTTTTAGTGCCACATGATGTCATCCAATTTTATATTTTCTACTGGGGGATAATGTGTATTTTTAAAATTGTGAAGCCACTTTCCATGTATGTACTTAAGTCTTACACATGATAAATTACAATAAACAAATTACAACACCGCAGCACATGCTCTTGGCTGTTTATGTCAAAAGCCGAGAAAGAAATTTAGATTTGCAGTAGGAAATGGAATTAGACCTATGTGAAATGTCTTCTGCCTACATTCAAGGTAGTCCTCATTTCAATGAAGGTCCTGGTCGGAACAAGTCCAGGGCAAGCATGACTCCGGCTATGCCTCCTAGTACAGAGCAGCCTGTGGACTCCACAAAGACTGTGGGCAGTCCTAGGCTAGTTACCCAGGAAACCCCAGCTTTAAACAACCAGATCCTTCCTTTTTTTATTGTAACAAGATCACACAACTCCCTTGCCAGTACCCAGATAGTGCCAGGTGTCCTAGGATCTTGGTGCCGTTCTTGTCCTCTAGAACCGGCAAGGGAAAGAGGGCGCCTCTAAACTTACCAAGACTTACTTCCTCACCCTTTTCTCTGGGACAGGGTCAGGTAAGCAGCCATACCCTGGAACAAGAGTGTGGTCCTCAATGGCTTTGCTGAGTGAACTTCTCCGAGTCATCTCGCCTGGGAAAGAGATTTCTCAAAGACCATTTAAAGCTTTCCAGAGGGAAACAGCGAGACAGTCGTGAGCCAAGGTTACCATAAATGCTTCCACTCCTCCTGATTTCATTTCGGAAATAAGGAAAGAAGCAGTCACCACTGCAGGCATTACTGACGCCTCATCCAGCAACCTCCCACCCCCAATCCCTCCACAATTAAGAAACAATAAAAGTTAATGTTACCGTAGAGCCATTGGTACATTGACACGTTTTTGAATTAAAACGTCTTTATTTCAGCCCAACATCTCCATCTACCACACTTAAGCACAGAACATTCCAGGAAGGCAAAGCCACCCTTGCCCTTCTCTCCTTGGCCACGTCCTCAAGGGTGGGCGAGCTTCGGGGGGAGGGCTGGGGGATGGAGACTCCGTGCCAACGCAAAACGCTCTGCCAAAAGGCTTCTCAGACACGAGTTTCCCAGGGCCATGCCCACCTTCCGCTCCCGCCTCCCCGAGTCTCTTTTCCCGGTTTAAGCTGGAACCCTGGAATGGTCTGAGGACCAATGAGGCGGCAGCGGTTGACGCTTGGACACGGTGAGGGGGCGATTTCCAGGGGGAGAGGCCGCAAAGCAAGGGAGGGGGACAGGAGGAGAAAAGTGGGAAGCGGGGGCAAAAAGTAGGCGGGGAGGAGAGGAGAGCCCCAGTTGGGGAAAAGCAACGGCAGTCGAGGTGAAAGAGCCAAAGGTGAAGAAAGAGCAGGTTCGTGGACAGGAGCTGGCGGGCGGGCCGGGGAATCCCTGGTGAGGAAGCGGCGAGGGAGGGGCGTGGGCCGGGCCGGGCCGGGGCGCCGCGGGAAGGGTCGCTGTCAGGCCGAGCGGGGCTCGCTGGCCGGGGGCGACCGCAGGGGCGCAGCGCAGCGCAGCTTGAGGGCGCGGCGGCCCCGGCAGCCTCGGCAGCCTCGGCAGGGACAGTGGTGGCCGCGCCCCCGTGCCCGGCCGGGCGCCCGCTCTGCGTTTCGCGTTCCCCCGCGCCGGTTTCGGTCCGCGGCCGCCCAGGCTGTCCCCGCCCGCGCGCGCCCGTTGGGGGGCCCGGGGAGCGGCGCCCGCGGCCCGGCCGCATTGTGACGTAGCGGGGCCGCGGCAGCGCCTCCTCGCCCGCCAGTTCCCTGCGAGCCTGTTCTGCTCCCGCCGCCGCGGTCCGTCAGTCGGTCCGTCAGTCCCTTCGCGCTCAGGAGCAGCCGGCGCGCCGGGCGCCCCGGGTGAGTCCTAGTCCCGAGCGGACGCTGCGGGGAGGCGGGGGGCGGGGGGTGGGAGTCTCAGCCTTTCCAAGTTTGCACCAGGCGACCCCAGCGGGTGTCGCCCCAGCTCCCCAAGCCCTGGGCCCCCTTTGTGCCGCGAGTCTCTGCTGCTCCGGGCAGCAGAGGCGCCTCTGCAGAAAGGGTTTGAGGGGGAGGTCTCTATAGTAACAGTGGTGGCGGCAGCGGGTGCTTTACTGGGGAAAGGGGGAAATAACCCCCGCCTCGGTTTCCAAAGGATTGTTCTTTTTATGTGTCCTCTTCATGTGGTTCTTATTCTTGCTGCCACCCGGGATCGTATCGCAGGCAGGGATGGGCAGTGCCGCGGCTCGGAAGAGCTGAGGTAAGGAGGGGCGAAGTAATAGTAATAGCGACGGTACTAACAACGGTAATAATAGCTGCAGGAGAGGGACGTGTGGTGTTGCTGCCGCCCAAGGGGAGCCCCTCGCCCGTCAGCACCGGCACCCCGGCTGCCCTGTGCAGCCCGGGCTCCACCAGCCTCCCTCCAGTGCTGTCCTGCGTCCCAGGCTGGTCCGCTTCAATTTCAGCAGGGAATGTTACTCTCTTGGCCTTCTTTCTTGGCGATGACTTCCATCTGCAGGTGGTAAGTGGGGTGAACCCAATTTTGGCTGTTGTCAAAGGCCACGTTTTGTTTATTTCATTTTTACGAAAAGAAAAGAGGGAAAATTATGAGCCATTACTGGCAGCCATACAGTTTCCACAGGAAATACTAGCATTCTTTGAGGAACACGCTACTGCTTGCAGCGAAGAAAGTCTTAGGAAACAAAAAGGCAACAGCATTGTTGCTCATTTTCAATGGACCGCTAGGAGGGGGGAACCGTGTTGTTTTTTTTCCTGTGGGAACGTTGCTTTCCTTGGGAAAGTTAATTAAGGAAGCATTACTGTCGGTGCTCCTTTTCACTTGTTGGAGGCAGGGTCCCATTCCTCTTGGCCGTTATTGACAAGTGCCCATCAAAGAGCCCGGAGGACGGAAGAACTGCTGTAGGACAGTCTCGCCACACACCACGTGCGGTGGAGCCTGGCCAGGGTGCAGTTTGCAAAATGAAATAAGGGCTGTCTGGGGAGGTTTATGAGGATTACATGTGTGCAGAGTATGTCAGTTCTCCAAGGTGTCACTCTAAACACGTAATTTTCAAGCACGACTTTCGTTGCTGAATCTGCAGCAAGGGAAACCCCTATTTTTCTTTTATGGAGCAGACATCCCAGTTGGGAATGGGTTGAAATCTGTATTTCATTTGTACATATTGAAAATTTAAAAGGCAAAGAACAAGGTCTAGGAAAGCAGTATGCTAATGTGCGCACATCTGGGAGAGAAAGTATATTGGCTGATTCTGATGCATCTCAATGTTAAATTACATTCAGCATGGTGGGAGTACAAGGGGACACCTTTAAGGAGTTCTTAAGACGATTCGAAAGGCGCAGTGTTTTGGTTCTGATCGCGGAAGTCTCTCTGGAAAGGGAGTATTAACTGAGGATTACCCATAACTAAATATGTATGCATTAACAGGTCTGGAATCAGAAAGTAAAAGATGATGCTTCTCTTAATGATCGTGTTTGGTCACGTCCGTTAAAAATAAAATATAGCATGGGATTTTGAAAAGAAGTGGCATAATTTTGAATATAAATTTCATTTTCTCCGTACCAAGCATTTCATGAAGAAAGGTTACAGATTGTAAATTTGAAATGATGCTGCATTCATTAATTTAACGGTTACCATTTGTTGACATTCAAAAGGAAGTGACTAAAGTAAATGCATTTCTCTGTCTACTCTGTCACAACTTTGCTAATTCCAGACAGTTGTTCTGGTGCAGGTGTACAGTGGAAGTGCTAGCCAAGAAACTGTGTGTGCTATTGTTTTGGAAGAAATTGTAGCAGTTCTTTACTGCTCTTGAGGGAAACCCACACAAACATCTAATACAAACAAATGATCTTTGATATTATCACAAAAAGCCTGGAGCTGTTTTTCTTGCCAGATTTAAGTCATTTCTTGTCAAAAGAGGAAATCTCCCAAGGAGCAGGTGCATCATTATAAGAAACACAAGGGAATTTCTCTTTTAAATGCAAAATCTAATTGAATAGCAACGAGAGAATCAGTAACACTCTTAGAATAGAAGCTTTGTCTTTGGCAGTTTGTCAGGTTACAGTTGCAAACCACATAGGAGAAATATGTGTCTTGGGAGAAAAATGATATTCTGGTGAAAATAAAATAGTTGCTTCTGTGAAACATTTACCCTTACATACTTATTTCCTTGTGCCCCTTTGATTTCTATGCAGATTCACTTGTAGGAAGTTATTTATGCAAAATGAATCAATAACTTGGTTTCTAATATGATACATACTATGCATGATTTTGCACTTTATACTTTAGGTAACTAGATTTTGTATTTTGTGGTTTGAATCCTATCACTCTTTTTTACATTTTAAAAATTAATGATCAAAATATGATTAATGATTAAAATATTTTTTAATTGGTATGACTGCTAGCTGGGCCCTGGGAAAGTACTAATTGGTTCCTAAATAGTTAGTGTGCATTTACTTTGTGCCCATGTGTCATATAGCAACATAAAATATATAGTCTTTTCACAAAGAACATGTTCATGGGAAATAGGACCCATGAAAAATTAAATGCTATAAAACATGGAAAAACACATTTCATAATTGAGTGCCCAAGACACTAAATAGTAACTGAAAAGGAATTCTGAGGAAAGAGTGACAAAACCAGCTTAGATGTTATATCAGTTATTCATCATTGGATAACAAATCCCCACAAAATGCAGTTACTTAAAATTGCTACTTAGCTCATGATTCTGGTGGTCAGCAATTTTAGCTGGGCTCAGTGAGGTGGTTTTCTGCTATTCTTAGTTAGGTGTGCTCAGATATTTTCAGTCTGCTGGTGGTATAATTTTGAATGGCTTTACTCATTGTCTGGCAGTTATCAGACTGTTGGCCAGGATAACATAATCAGTGGCTGGGATATGTACCACCCATTCTCCAGCATACTCACCTGAAATTCTTTACATAGCAAATCAAACAGTGTTGTAAGAGCAGCAAAAGAACAACCTGCAATGCAAAAGCAACCTTAAAGCCTCAACTTGAATCACATTAGCTTCTCTCCCATTCACCATATCAAATCAGGAGGTTACCCCAGATTCAAGGGGTATAGAAAGAGTCCAGTTATGATGAGATGGATGTGCAAAAAATTTGAACCAGTTTTTTATAATATACTACATGTTTGAGGATAGTTGTGTCTAGCAGATGTTTTCTGCTGAAAATAATGTTAGGAGAGAGTATTGGAGCCTGCTTAGCAATAACCCAGGATTTAGGTTAAGGAGTTGTCCAGTAAATTTTTGTTCTATAAACCCCAGGTAAGGAAGTGTGACACAATGATAATAAAATTTTGGCCATATCCTTCCGCCAGTGGTGTTATGGTTTGGAGACAGAAGGTTGGTGGCAGAGTGAGCTTAGCATTGTTGAAAGTTGATGGCTTTGACAAAAATGGAGGCAGGAAAAATGGAAAGGGATCAGTCTGGGAGATCCCATATTTAGGATGAGGTGACTGATTATAGGGGGTTAGTAAAAGCAAAAAGTCAGTCATTCTGAGATTTAAAAAAGCTTAAGTGACAGAATGATTGTGCTTTTGTGAGAAATAGAAAATCAATAAGTGATTTATTTGGGGGGAGGAGAAAAATTCAATTCCAGAAAGGTTGATTAAAAGAGACAAATTGAAGGTGAAAGTACTTTATAAGCTGCAGAGTAAGTAGGCTATGAATGTTAGCTATAGTTTAGTGTTTAAACCACAGTGCACCATTGTATATAGTTAAGTTTCTTTAGGTGTATAGCAACATAAAACAAACTACAACATCAGGGATTCCCTAAGGTGTCAAAGGGAAGTCAGAACCACTACTCTCAGGATGGAAACAGAACTTACCTGGAGAGTAGAACCGATGTTCTTTCTCCAAGGCATGGCTGGAGGTCGGCCCTTAGAATGCTCTGCCCCTAAAGTGAGCATACCAGGCAAGAGAATACCTTTGACTTAGTTTGAGTGATATGCACACTCCTGAGCCAATAGCACTGACAGCCACACCAGGGCAGCACACAATGCAGAGTGGGCAGGTTCACCCTCAAAGGACACTAGAGCACTGCTATCAGAAGTGGGGATGGACACAGGTTGGCAAGACCAACAAATGCTCACCACAGATAAACACTTAAACATTTATTTAGGCCTAGCCATGGGGGATCAAGAGGTAATAAGGCAGGAGGTGACAATTTTGGCATATTTTCATAGAGTATAGGTGCATGAATAACAGTTGAACCCATACTATTGGTGGAGTTTTCTTGTGGAAAGTAAAGAAAGAAAAGAGGGTCTGGCACAATGCCTCATCCAGACTCCTTCATAAACGTTAATGGATGTTTTATTAGAAGGGAGAAGAATTCTAAACATGTTCTGTTCTGTCTTTCACCTAAAAGCTCATGCAAGGTGCTGTTTCATCAGCCTCATTTTATGGTCAGACTGAAATTCAGGTGGTGCCCTTACCACCAACTGCAGCTGTTGGGCTAGACAGAAACACCTGGCCTCTCCAACTTCACACAATTAGTCTGAACAGCATACACAGCTGCTCTTTATGGAATGAACTTGGATGAACCAGCTCAAACCGAAGAATACGCTTTTATCATTTTTATTGCACACATCTAAAAACCCTGAAGATACTCAATAAATGTTAATTGAATGAGTGGATGTGCCATTATCTGGTGCAGTAAAGTTTTTTAAAATGGTCTGGTCTGGCTTTTCATTATTAAGTGTAGAGTTTGCCATAAAGTCCCTAAGTGCCTTTTGTAGACTTAAATATTTTAAGGTACTCTTGTCACAGTAATATAGGTTTTCTTAAATCTACTACTCATAAAAATAAACTATTTTCTTTTCTTTATTGAAATACACTTGTCTTTAATCCTTGTGTTTTTCAGGATACTTGGTTGCAAATCAAAGGAACCTTGTTTATACTTGCACAAGTAGGAAAGGGCATATACTGGCTCCTGTAAAGGAAAAGTTCATAAAGGATCCAATTCTGATTTCCTCTTTTCTTCATGGTGGCAAAATTTTGATCTGCAGCTTTGGGCTTAACCCCTGAGAAAAAGAGAATTCAGGATTAACTTTAATTAGACCACTTTGATCACATGCATATTCTTGAACCAGACTCTATGGCCAAAGATTTGGACCATGCCACTTGACTCGGCTTTGACTATGAGCTCAGTCCTGGAGGCTTTTGGAAGGGAAGAGTGGTATGTGTGAAGGCAGGTAGGGTGGAGTGTATGGGCGTGAAAGAGGTACATGGGAGACTGGTCAGCAAAACCCTTCTAAACCATATAAACTGAGAGCAGGGAAGGGGTGGTTTTTCTTGTTGTTGTTGTTGTTTTTTTTGTTTGTTTGTTTTTGAGATGAAGTCTTACTCTGTCACCCATGCTGGAGTGCAGTGGCATGATCTTGGCTCACTGGAACCTCCGCCTCCCAGATTCAGGAAATTCTCCTGCCTCAGCCTCCTGAGTAGCTGGGAAAAAAATATTGAGAAGAGATAAGAAATGCCGTGTATGCAGAAACAGCAGATACCTACAAAATACTATTACACCTGGTTTCCCTGACAGACATAGTATCCTCTCACTATACCCCTAAGTCAGAGACCTGGGAATGATCTTGATCTGACCTTCTCCCTTTCTTCCTCCCCTAATCCCCTAAGACCTCCTGCTCTGCTTCCTTTCATGTTTCACTCTTCCCAAATCACCTCCACAAATGCTGCCTTCAGTCTCCCAGCCTCCAGTCCATCCTCCTCACCATTGCCTGCTTGCTCTTTCTAAAGAAGAGATAAAATTGAATTATATAACCCCCTACTAAGAACCATTCCAAACCTTGTCATAGCCCTGAAGAAGAGTCCAAGCTCCTACCTTGAATTCCAAGGTTCTCTGTGAGGTGAGTCTTGTCTCCTCCTATGGGTGCAAGGATGGGTAGATGCTGGTATGTTCAGCAAAGCCTTCTTCTAGCTGCCCATATTTTCCCCAAGCTGGGCTGACCCATGTAACTTCAAAATCCTTAAATGCTTCATTGCACGTGCTTTTACATGGGCTGTTGTCTCTGTGGAATATTGTTTCTTCTTTCTCAAACTATGAACTATTAAACATTTACTTATCCTTCCAAACTCATCTCAAGTGTTGCTTTTTCAAGAAGACTTTGCTGAACATCTCTTCCCAGCCTTTCCCCACATCACGCTTTATCCTGTACGACCTTGGATATACATGTCTGGCTCCCTCTGTAGACTAAATGTCTTGAGAGCTGGACTGTACTTTCTTGTCTTTGCACAGCCTGTGCTCAGTACAGTGCCTTGCCCACCATATATCTCAATAGTTTTTAAATATATGGAAAAAAATATGCTGAATCATTCATCTTTCATTTTTTTTAGTTATAATCTTTAGTTATACTCTATTTCCTTTAACTTGATTTTCACATGTGGCTCTTAGGATACTGGACATGAAAGAGGTTCTCTTTAAAACTGCTGCTCACTTTTTCAACAGTTTTCCCAATGATTTATTTACTTATTCGTTACTTTGTCACTAATAACAAACTTGAGGAGGCTGGAAAATATCAATGGCCCAGAGTAACGGGTCAGAGACCAGATGAGGAATCATTTTCCCCTGTCATCAAAGACAATATTTAATAGTTGATATTTATGAGGCAGTTTGTTTTGAGTATGTACTAGATGCCTTTCTTATTTAGTTCTCACAGCAGCCCTAGGAAAGAGGCATTACTGGTACCATCCTTTTTTTTTTTTTTTTAACAGATGAGGAAATGAAGATTTAGAGATTTGAAGCAGCTTGTCTGCCACTAAGCTCCTTCTGCCTGGCAGCTGATAAGCTGCCAGACACTCACCTGGGTTGTTGAGGAGTGAAAGCTTTGATTGGAATCTTCCCATTCAAAATTTTGTTATTGTTCTTCTAAGATGAAGCAAACATCATCTTGAAAATAAAACATTATCACTGTCTTCTTTGGTCATCAATCCTGTCAAAAAAAAAAACCACAAACCTTTGGAAAAAGATATATTTAAAGAAGTAAGGGCTCCAGTACTATAGTTGAAATTAAGACCAATTTCTTACTCATAAATTCCAATTATCTTCCTGAGATACTAATACTACCAGAAAATAAAAGCCTCTTATGGAAGTTGTTCTGCTGCATATAAAATACAGGCCTCTTGAGGAGGCAGAGAAAAGCTTGCTTTTGAGAATCATTCACAGAGCTATTCCATAGATAAATAAAAGTTGCTAAACACTTGGAAGCCACAGATGCTCAATAGTTCTTAACCTGTTTTCAGTCTGCGAGCCTTAAGAACATTAGATGAAAGCTATGGATTCTTTCCTTGTAGAGAAAAGATGTGCACACATACCCCAATTTGTATTTAATTTTAGGGATTTCAAGGATCTATTGAATCTCATCTGTGGATTTCCTGGGACTCCATGGACTCCAGGTTAAAAAAAAAAATCTGTTTTAAAAGCTGATGCAGAAGGATGATAATAGCCATTGTTGAGTGCTTACTGTGTTTGACATGTAACAATTTATTCAGTATTTACCAGATGCCAGCCCTTTTTGAAAGGTACATTATAGCTAAGCCATGCATTATGAGTCATTTTAAGCTATGGAGGAGAATTAGGTTCAGAGAGGGAACTTAGAGTCTCCCACTGGGCAAGTACTGAGAACAGAATTAAACACAGAACCCAGGTCTGTATCACTGCTACTTCATGCTGCTTCCACACTCTTTCATGCAACCAGGTGAGGCATAAGACCTGTGCCTCTGAAATTTGGATCCTCTGTTGATCCTGACTTCCCTCAGCCTTCAGCTTCTCTTGTTGAAAGTAAGTTAAGTGGCTGCTTCTACCATTAGAGCTTCCTGGAATGTGTCCAGTGCAGGAGCAGTTGAGGGCTGGGAAGGTCTCAGCTCACTGTCCTCCTTCACCTGTGACAGCTTGTTCACAGTAGGACAGATAACATCACTAGAGTGACAGTACTACTGGATCGATCATCTCTAGGTAAGTTCCTACCTCTTACTCACTCCTGTGTACAGTTTGTACACTTGGAAACTTTAACGCTCAACAGCAAAAATGACTGCAAATGCTCCATGTGACCCCCCTTCCACAGATATTTATTGAGGCCTGCTGTATTCTGGGCTCTGTCCTCCAAGCTGCAGTCACAGCAGTGAGCAGACAGATGTGGATCCTGAACTCATGGTATTTATAGCTAGCTTATATCTTGCCAGGAAGCGGGCTAATAAATAATTTAAATAAAGCATAGTAAGTTTTATGAAAAAGGAAGTATCAAGGATTTATTCTATTTCAGTTTCTTCATTCTTTTCAGCTTCAAAACTCTGGTCACAAAACACTGTGTACTTCTCCAGCCCTTTCTTCCCCCAGGATGTTCAGAGTGCTTCAAGTTTCCAAAAACTTAGTTGATGATGTCAAGGGACACACAGGCCAACCAGTTAATCTCAGTCCCTCTTTTGCAGATGAGAAAGCAGCAGTGACCAAATGACTTAACCTCAGATGGGGCAAAGACGGGGATAACTAGTTGATCTGGTCCCCAGTAGAGCATTGCTCACTATAAACCACAGGCTGCTTCTAATTTGTTCGAGATGTTATTGTTGTAGCCTTTATGTTCTGGTCTCTCTTGCTGCAAATGACTCCAGCAGGCGAGCACAACGAAGAAAGCAAATACACTGCCAGTTTCTGCACCCTCTTCATAGCCCCTGATGGGTCCCCCAGTTGTCTCTTTCTCATTCCATAGGCACTTCCTGCTGTCACCCACTTGCCTTAAGGCCACCTCCCCAGGTTTTCTCCCTGAAGCATTGCCTTGTGACTGTACCAACCTGCACTGGCAGATAGAAATGTAATAGGATCCATGAATGGGAGCTATGCAGGTAATTTCACATTTTCTAGCAGGCACACTTAAAAAAGTAATAGAGAACAGGTGACATCAATTTTAATAATCTTACCTAATATAGCCAAAATATTAGCATTCCTACATATAATCCATATAAAAAATCAAACCAGATACCTTATATTCTTTTTTTTCCCATATTAAATCTTTGAAATTTGGTGTATGTTTTTTACCTACCTCACTCAGAATGGCCGCATTCCAATGCTCAGTGGCCACAGGTGGCTGGAGACCCCTGCAGTGGACTACAGGCTTGGACTCCAAGGAGACCCTGGTATGCCTAAGACAGACTCAGTGACATCCCCTCAGCCTCCCTCAGCCCTTAGCTCAGATATTTATTGCTGCTCCAATAGAAGGTTCACAAGGTTGTGTTCTCAAACCTGGCTCTTGAAGGAAGGGAATTTGTCATCTTTCTATCCCTGGTGTAGAGTGCAGTGTTTGGTAGACCCACCATTGGCACTGGGGACATGATGAATCATTAATGAACAAAGGAGGTATATCTGTAACTCTGGGAGTTGAAGTGCTTGGTATATGGAGGCTTACCTGTCCAACCCCTGCTCCCTGGCTCTATTCCCCCATCACAGGGGCTCCTGTTTCAATCTCCCAGCTTTGTCCAGTGCCACAGAACCACACTGGAGTCAGACTGAATGGACAGGAGGCATCTCCAGTCACACATCCAGACTTCTAACCAAAAATTGTATTGAGACTATATACATCTTGTTTAGTTTTTGTTTCAACTCTTTAACATCAAATACTAGAAGAACTTATAAGCAGTCTAGTATGTGAAATCATAAGTCTGATTTAACAGCATGGAAAAAAAAAAGAAAATAGGACAGACCAAAAACCAAAAAAAACCTCTTCCAGTGAACAAGCCTCCTATTGAGATTGCAAACAAGGCCAGCTGACATATAGAACATTAAATATAAAAGAGAAGGCTAGCTTGCATCAGGGAGCTATTAGAGTCATCACGATGAACTTTCTGTTTCCAGTGGTTTTAGAGTCATCACTACTCCCTCTGAGAGAAATGGAGATTTATATCCTGAGTCAATTTGCCTTTGCATGTACAGCGTTTAAATTTTGCAAGTGGTTCTAACCAACTAATATGCATGTTAGCTTGTCTAATTTACCCCCAAAGATAAGTGTCACTTAAAATAATTCATATAACCCAATCTAAGATTGGTGCTTCCATAAAACCACACTAACCACATATGCAAATAAATTTAAAGTTTGAAAATGGAGGAAAATATGTTTGATCTGTTAAGTCATATAAACATTTTTAAAAGGGATTTTTATCTCAGTAAACAGTACAGTTACCTCAGGCCCACTCAAAGAGTACATTGGAATGGAAAGTTGAATAAAGTCTAACCTCAGTTTACCATTGATTACCAGTTTCAACCTGGAGCGCTCATTGACCTGCTTTGGGTTTTTGTTTCTGACTTCATACAGTAAAAATAAATCCTGCTGTCACATACTATGTTTTAGGAGGATGAATGAAGTCTACAAAATGTTTTAAACGATTCCTCAAAAAAGATATTTGGAACAGTTTGAGGGTGAGGTAGCTTGCCAATATTTCCACAAAGTAAAATCTTAAAAATAATAGCATACATCCTATAGCAGATAACTGAATATTAGCCATGTTTAAGTAATTTGATGATCTTGTCTTTAGTTAGACAAGGACAGTTCAAGATAGAGTTTTGCATCTGTTGGCTACAGTTTTGGGAATGCTGCTTTCATTTGGGATTCTTAAAAAAGAATTCGTGCCTCTTTGCAACTAAAATATATTTCTTCAAAGATGATGGCTCTGGTGTGCTGCGTTGGTGTAATTGAAAACCTATAAAAAGGCTGAGAGCTACTTTTGAATTGGCTTAGTAAACTTGGACTGGATTTGTCGAAGTGGTGAAAGGTTTAAAAGAATTTTCTTAAATGAGGTCTCCATGCGGTGTTTTAACCATAGAATTCCAATGAACTCCAAGGCCCACGAACTCGGGCAACAGCGCCTCAGAGAAGAGCAGTCATATCAAGATGAAAATAAGTGATTCATTTTCATTCCCCACGTTCTGCAGATGTAAGCACATTTAGCCGCTGATAATCATAATTTAGTAGTACTGCTGTGCACTAGAAATACAATTTAAAAGTCTAATCTTTAATTAAGTTGAGTACTCACAGATTAACATGGTTACAAATCTTGGGCACTGGATGTAGTACAGTGTTTACTCCTGTTGCTAGGAAATACAGCAGAGCTATTTGAAAGTTACAGATTGATTTGGTGAGAAGGATGTGAGCCTCTCCCAGTAACAGACTTGTTCGTTGCTTCTCCCTTATGTAATGTATGTAAATGCATTTTGTGCAGTGGAGGTCCTGTGCATTCAAAGCTTTTGTTGGCAGTAGAAGCACAGGTGTGTGCACCTAAGTCAACATTCAGAGGATATTTGATAAACCAGTCTTACCTAGAGCTCCTGGACAAAATAAGCATCATGAAGTGTGAGTATTTGAGTTTTTAGTGAAATGAAGTCTTCTATTTGTTAGAGTTACCAAGGAAATGAGTGTTCTTTAAAATCTAACTGTCGTGAGGCTAATTGATGGCTTTACATTCTTGCCATTAGTGGGAAGCTGTCAAATTAGTACAGAAATTTGATCCAGGTTGATGGTTTTCCAAAGTTATTAACATGTGCATGTAGGAAACCAACTCTGCTTTACTTTTCTTTCTCCCCCACCACCCTCTCCCTGCTTTGGCAAATCTTGTTGCATGACACATCATACAATAGTTATTAAAAATGCAAAGATGATTTTTACACAGCATGAAGGGGAATAGCTACATGACAGTTCACTTGCGTTGTCCCTGAAAAAGATGAAAGATTGCTATGTGCTATTTCAGTCAGGATCAGGCGTGAAAGTGTGGCCTCCCTGAGCTCAAAAACAGGACTAGGAAAAAAAACACAGGAAAAAATTTCTATTTGTTCTATTTGAGGCAGGCCCTTGCACAAAGGGACTGGTATTTCAAAGCAGGGTCCTTCCTACGAGAAGGAAAAATAGCAGAATACTTCATTGTCTCAAGGGACAAAATCAGGAGTAGGATG